GAGAAAAGCATGCAACACCCAAGATCCAGCCTGGAAATGTGTAGCCTAATATGTAAGAAGAAAAAAAACATCCAAACTCCGACTACTTGGCGGCCGAAATGATCTAAGGCTTGTGGCTCAGCTGCAATTAAGCAATGCTGGCTTCTTCCTCCCAGCCCTTGGAGGGATCACAAGAGGTGCACAACAGCTCCAAGAGCACCCTTGGGTCTCTCTGCTGGCAGTGTGTGGCTGTGTGAGCCACCCCAGGGCATGGAGTTGCTCAGAGGGTTTGGGGTCCATCAGCTTGGCCCTCTGTCCAACCACCCTGCAGCAAAAACCTGCTTGGGGAAGGTCAACCCTTAACAGAGCTGAATATGCCTGTGCTCAGGAGCACAGAGGGGTTTCTTGGGGTGGTGAGTCCAGGCTATGTGTGCCAGCTCCATCCCTTGCCATGGCAGGGCTTGGGATGACTGCAGCTGTATGGAGCCAATAGTAAAAAGCAGTGTTGGCAGAAAAGGAGAGGCTGGGGATTGCAAGCGTGAATGCTACCACCAGCTGCAGCAAAGACAGCATCCCAGTTCTGCTCTGATGGGAGGCACTGGGAATAGCTACGGTTGTCTAGTCCAAAATCATTATTTAAGCTCTCTCTGGACTGAATGGAGAGACACAGACATCACCTGAGTCTTCTCATATAAGGCAAGGATCTAATTCAGGTGTGGGGAAATCAATTCCTAGAGAAGTTTGTCTCCTGCTTATAGGGAGAGCTAAACAGCTGCCTCCTCCTGAGAGAGATGAGACCAGGTGGGTGATAACCTTCGTTTCTCTGATGCATTTCAGACCACTGATGGCTGATTTGGATTGTTTTTTCAGCCAGACTCTGGGATGGTTTCACACCACAAAGCAAAATGAAGCCTGAAAGTCCTGGCTCTGCCAATGGCTTCCCATATAGTGCTGGGTGAGGGAGCTTTGCTCAGAGACCACTCAGAAACAGGGCTGAGGATGTGAGTCAGGTTTTCCTGCCAAAACGTGGTACCATGATAAAGGAAATAAAACCCAGTTGCTGATTTCACAGATGACGGCAGAGCTCATCTCAAGGTTGTCTGCTCTGTGGGGATTTCCACCTCCAAGAAGTGTGGTTGCTCTGGAGAAGTCTTTACCAAAGTGAAGTCTGGAGGAAAGAAAAACACCTTTTACAGCCGACAACTCTCAGGCTCTGTTTTCCTGCAAATAGCAGCAATTTCTATAAACCCGTTTGTATCTGAAGTGATGCCTCTGCAGGTGGATCAGTGGTCCCCTCCTCATCAGTGAGCTCTTTCTCACAGAGGGCTGAACTCACTGCTCAGCTCCTGTCTTGTACTCCCTTGAGCCAGAGCTGCTCCTTGTTTCCAGTCAACTGGGTTGGCCAAAAGCAGATATGTGTCTCAGACTTCGTATTTACTGCAGGAGCTGTGACTCAAAATAGGTCCCACTGCATTTGGTGGTGTCACCTTCTAATGGGAAATGTGTGGAAAGAGCCCTCTGGAAAAGCTGGGTTTCTTCCTGAGCTTTGGAGCCAGCCCAGCAACTGTCCCAAGTCACTGACGTCAATGGAGACCCAAGAGTGGGTCTGGGGCTGGTGTGTCCCTGGGTGGGACATGAACCTGGAGAAGCCGTAGACCCACCAGAGAGTTGGGATCTCCTCTGGAGAGGGATCAGCTGCAGCTGCTTTGTAA